AAAGCCCTTTTCATGTACATTAGTATCCACCGGGATTGCTGTTCATTTTTGTTTCTTCACTATATCCATAACTTTGTGTTAGTCTTTGTCTCTTTCAAATTATGTATTTCTTTGACCTTGTTTACCTTTCTGTGCGTGCCTTTGCTCATAACATGTTTATTGGATGCCACAAAGCTCTTTATTTTCTTTTATTTTGTTTGTGTCTGTACTTTCTCTTTCTCTCTAATGTGTTATTTTTTTAAAAGACTAAGTGTGTATGATTATTTGTTTCTTTGTTTTTGTATGTCTTTTACATAGGTTTCCAATCATAGGTGTTAGATGCTCAAGGTGTTTATTTTCTCATGTTAATGATATCTTAAAATACACTATAATGATGATGAGTTTTTAAAATGAGTCGTATGTTATGTAGCTTTCAACTATAATATGTTTGTGTTTGTACTTTCTCTGTCTCTCAAATGTTTTTTTTAAAGACTAAGTGTGTATGATTATTTGTTTCTTTGTTTTTGTATGTCTTTTACATAGGTTTCAAATCATAGGTGTTAGATGCTCAAGGTGTTTATTTTCTCATGTTAATGATATCTTAAAATACACTATAATGATGATGAGTTTTTAAAATGAGTCGTATGTTATGTAGCTTTCAACTATAATATGTTTGTGTTTGTACTTCCTCTGTCTCTCAAATGTTTTTTTTTTTAAAGACTAAGTGTGTATGATTATTTGTTTGTTCGTTATTCAATTCTGGTTTTATTGTTAATAAAAACATACTGAATAAAAAGTCCGGAGACTCATACAATTCAGTTTCCAAATTATAAATACATACAAGAATAAAGAAATCAATACTTTTAGCAATCTTTTTTATATTAATTACTGATTCTAATGAACTAAACAACTAATTTCAAACAATCTTGAAATAATACATGTTCTAATTATGCAGTTGTAACGTTTAAATAGTAAAATATGTTGTTACCCTTTTCTAAATGTCATATGCAATTAAGTAATACACTTTCAAATTAATAAGTAGTCTTTTTTAACCTAGTTGACATTTCTTTTAGAAATATATTTCTATATACCGGTAGATGATTGTCCAAGAGATATGATAATAAAATTTATGTTTACTTACAGAGTATAGTCCTATCATTATACAGGTACTATGAAATATTATTTAATCCGATTAAATGGCATGACAGGAAATTAATAAATTACATCTTGGTCACATAATTATGGTCATTATATTGAGTAAAATATATTGAGTAAAAATATCTACAGATTTGAATTCAGGATTCATGTGAAATGGGGAATGGGAGACTGTCTGTAACGCTCTGTTCTCATTTTGGGGGTATTGAGCTGGAGAGAGTTGCGGAGAGTGCGTTTTGAGATAGTTTGTCTAGTTTCAGGTAAGAGATGGCGGTGGCGGTCTGAGATCAGTAGAGATTTAGCAAACTTTTCGCAAAAATCCTCTGGACAGCCATGCATTATGGCTCAAGGCATGGGCACACAGAAGATTTTTTTTTGTTGGGGACCGGGGTAGAATGCAATAAATTATTGAAAATGTATTGCATTTTCTGTTTTTTTTTTAATTTATGGAAACTGCCCCCTACCATAGCCCCCGCTGCGTACAGTCATGGTTCAGTGACAAAGCAATGGCCTCGTAACTGTGAGGCCCCAGGATCAACACCGTGTCGATGTGCTATATTAGTGCCCTTTTGTGAGGCATTAATCCTCATTACTGTCATTTATGACTTAAGGGCATAGGTCCCCTAGTTGATAAACATAGTAGCATAATATACATGCTTTAGCAGTCACGCAAAACACATATTGGCAAATTATTATTCAATAAAATCTGAGACTGTATACTATTATCTAGATCTAGTATTTTTAAATTATTTTTTAAATAATTCCATAAATTGGGATAAAAAAATATATTCCACCGTTATGAGCAACAGTGTATTTCCAGCGGTTTTCTGTAGACAACGCGGCATCATTAACTATTATCAGGAAAATAATGGGTCCTAATTTAGTTCCCTGCGGAACACCACAAGAGAGGTGGGAAAGATTTGATGTAACCCCACGATAACGAACAGTTTGCGTTCTTTGCGTCAGGAAACTACAGATAGTCGGGAGAATGGAGCGGTCAACTCCTATGTCAATCATTTTTCTGATTGCTGTGACATGGTTGATATGATCGAAAGCTTTACTGAAATCGATCATGCATAAGTTAACATACTTCCCAGGTCGGTCAATCTCCCGATGAGCATTATCCAAGAGACTGATTAAGTAATGGCAAATTGATGTTCCGGGCATGTTTCCAAACTGTTGGGGATCAATAGCATGGTGCACATCTTCAATAATCCAACGGGCAAGGAATCCCTCAAACACTCGTGCTAATACTGACGTGATAGAAATGGGCCTCAGTTGGTCAGGTGTCGTTGCCGGCCGGACCTTAGGCACTGGACATACTGATGCATTTTTCCAGATATGTGGGAAACATCCATTTTTCAAACAGCAGTTGAAAATGTGGGTGAGTGGCTCAAACAGCTCGTACGCAAATTCCTTGATGAGGCGTGTTGGGCAGTCGTTCGGGTGACCAGCCTTGGAGACATTGACTTTTCGTAGGCATTCAAAGACCTTTTGTCGCTCGATGATTGGAGGTGGTGTCGGCGCAGGGAGGTAGTCCGGCAACGAAGCCAGGTCGAGAGATGGAAGGGCCGAGCAAATCCGGCTAAAATGAGCGTTTATCTCATTCGCAATCTCCAAGTCGGATTTGTCGGCTGGAAAGCTGAGAGACTGCTTCTTGAGTCATGCTAAGTGGAGAATTTGCTGGTGCCATTTCCCAGGTTCACTGTGTTTCAGATGTTCCACTTTCCTGCTATAGAGACTTTTCTTGGCAGAGCTGATTTCTCTTTGTACCTTATTTCTTACGCTACGAAATGAGTCATCACCTCGCGTATAGCTGATATTGCGCTGAGTAATGGCCCGGCGGATGGCATCATTCATCCATGGTTTATCGTTGGGACGTCGTTTGACTGTGATAAGATCAAAGTATTGCCGATATTTTGTGTCTAGAAGTTGGTGAAGATTTGCAGTCATTTTGTTCCCATCAGTGGATTCCTTAAATTCTGACCAGTCCATCTGCGTGATCCATTGACCAAAGGCGCGAATGGAGGAATCACGAAACGGTCGGAAGGATATTTTTGTAGTGTTACGTGGTGGAATAAGGAGCAGAGGAACAGAGTGGTCACTTAAAGCAATGGGTGCTGAAATGACAGGCTCTCCATAACGATACCCGAGATCTGTCTGTCTTTTACATAGATTTCAATTCATGTGTGTTAGATGGTCAAGGTGTTTATTTTCTCATGTTAATGATATCTTAAAATACACTATAATGATGATGAGTTTTTAAAATGATTCGTATGTTTTGTAGCTTTCAACTATAATATGTTTGTGTTTGAACTTTCTCTTTCTCTCTATGTTTTTTTTAAAGACTAAGTGTGTATGATTATTTGTTTCTTTGTTTTGTCTGACTTTTACATAGGTTTCAATTCATGGGTGTATAGATGCCCAAGGTGTTTATTTTCTCATGTATATTCAATATGTCAATTTGAAGTGATATCTTAAAATACACTATAATGATGTTGAATTTTTCCAATGAGTCGTATGTTATGTAGTTTTCAATTGTAGTATGTAATTATCAATCGTTGTTGAATGTTTATCAAATATTTATTTGTAACACCTGTGAATAATGGAAACAAAGTACCACGTAAAACAAACAAAAAATAAGTAATCTAACAGAATTTGAAATATAAACGTTGCTATAACGATCATGATGTTGTACATGTACATGTATTTGATTCTTAACTTTAAGCATTTGAAGAATTAGGGGAACTGAAATCGCTACACACAAAGATAATTATGCAATGCTGACTGCTTTATTTTAACATTTGGTTATTATTAAGCGGTGGACATGGTTAAATTTGTTTTGGTTCGTCCGTGCAAGGAGGAGGAGTTTGTGTGGCGAGGGTTTTGCTATTTTATCAACAGTAACAGAGTCTATTTTTAAAGAAATATATTTTAGAGGGTATACCAGCTCGGCTTCAACCAAGATAATGAGGAACCAATATTTAAAACGAAATAACTAAGCAAACATAAAAAGTAATAAAAACAAAAACAACTTAAAGTTACTCTTGCAAAATATTTATCTAATTAGATGTTTTTTCTTTCATTGATCTATTGTATGATATCGAGCACTGTGATGTGTATATTTTGTGGTAGGAATGTTGTGCTTTTGTCATGTCATTATAATCTGGTACATACGTTTTTATGATAAATCTATACATTAACGATTTCTAGGTGATTATCGTCGTAACGTACATTGAAACGTATTACATGACTTTTTGTATCAATAAAATAACATGGCATAATAAAATAACATAAGAGAGATAGGACTGGGTAGAGGGAAGATGATTATTACAATGATAATCATGATTCGAGAAGTAAAAATACTATCATTTCAAGTTTGCACAAACTCATTTATAATCCGAGAAATAGTTACCTTTAAATGTAATAATACTAGATTTGTAAATTTATTACATTCAAGTCGTCGAGTGTATTCTTCACTTCTTTTGTATATCTTCAAGTTATCCATGAAACAAACAATGTTGTACTGTTGCTTTTAGCTACAGTACACACTCAAAATAAAATACTGCTAATGTAAATATAATTAAGGCCGCAATCTTTTGCTGCATAATTTCATAATATAAATAAATATAAATGCATAACAAAATACATTATTCATTCAGTATTTACTTTGGCATTTGTCTAATTTGTTAATCCTTGTCTTCTTCTTTCATTAAAATTTGATGGCAATCAGTCATACTTGACTATTGTTGCCACTGACATTGTCTATTGTTATCCTCTCTCTCTCTCTCTCTTAATCGATAATTATTTATATACTTTTTTCTTTTTTATCTCTTTTTTCATTCCTAAAAAAAATTACATGAAAATACGGTCAATCACGTTTACTTTTCACGATTTTCTTTCGACAGCAACACCATCTCATAGAACGTTTAATGATAAAGAATAGGATCACAACGAGAAGTATACCAAATGCAGCGATATCAAGTAGGTATATTTGAAAGAATGCTAGGCTATGAGTAGGTGGGTGAAGGTGACCTCCTCCGTGTTTGATCACATGTTCAATCCAGAATGCAGCCGTGTTCGCTGGTGTCATTGGACGATCACGAAAGATGGCAGAAAGACGCTTGGCGTTCGTTGAATAGCTTGGGTTCTCAAGGACTTCGTTGAGTTGTAGGTAAATGTAATCCACACTCAATCGGTCTTTGTCGATCTTGGTACCAAGTCCATTAGCCAGCACTCTGGCTGCAACGTCATGCTGATCAGCACCCAGAGGCATAACGACAAGGGGTACGCCATGGTACAACGCCTCCAGGAATCCGTTGTTTCCTCCATGGTAGAGCACTGCTCGAGTCTTAGGATGCCCAAGCAGATCATTCAAGGGTAACCATTTCATCGCTTTGATGTTATCAGGTATCTTGTATGGAGGGGGCTCTTTCAAATGAAGAAGAACTTTGTGTGGGAGTCTACTGAAAGCGTCGATGAACATGCGAATGATATCGGGTCTACTTTTTGTTATTGAGGCAAAATATGAACCAAGAGAGAACAGAACGACACCGTGCTTGCCCGATGATTGCATGAAGTTCTCTAACTCATTGTCGAGGGCTTCGGCTGGTCTTGTTGTAAGTCCACCAACTGGAATGATGTTTGGCATCATGGCAAAGGTAAATTCGACCGAGAAATCACTATTGATAAGGAAAAGGTCAACATGATTACTGATGGTGGATTTCAACCGAGGATCTAGATCATATTCATCCACAAGACCAGTGGAAAATCCATTGATCACCATTTTATTTCCCCAAAACACAAAGAAGAGGTAGGTGACGGTATTCCTGAATCTTTGTAAAAATGTCATGTCAGATGTGAATGACGTCAGTGGTGCCGGTTGGTAAGAGGTCATAAATGGAGAGCCTGCTTCTTTAAATATATAAGGAAGTGGTGTCATGGGTGCAAGCACTATGACATGAAGTTTCTCGGTACCTCTATGTCTATCAAGAAAGGACTTAACATACACACCACACGACCATACCACATCGACGACAAAAGCATCGAATTTCGCCATACGGTCTAGCAATCTTTGATCTTCAAAAACGGATTCACAAGCTTCTCTGTTTACAGAAATGAACATATCCATCATCTCAGCCATGTGCTTCATGCTGTTTTCAGCAAATGTGACTTCTGCCGTCTTATTCGATATGTCATCCATTCTCTTCTTCAGACCAGAAAGATGGAACATTTCGTAGCTGACGATCGTAGCGTGCTCGGGATCCATGGCGCGGTCGGAATACTCGTCTGAAATGAGGAAAGTCACATTATGACCTCTCTTCACCAGACTCTTTCCGACTGCAACCATCGTAAAATAATGGCTGCCATCTCCAAAGACACCAGAGAGAAGAATGTTCGCTGATTCCACATCGCTCAGAGCTAAGAGTAAGCCCACAGCAACCAGAATATGTCGGACTCTCAAAGAGAACATAGTGTTGTCGAATCTCAACGTATAAAACACCGTATACAACTCTCCAATTCCCAGGTATAATTTGATGTGCATTGTGATAATAACAATACATCAAGCAGTCTAATGTCAATGTTGAGCGAACCGTTGATACACAGGATTAAAGGTCACTTATCGCACAACGTTGGACTTTTACCTCCTCAAAAGTCTTTTTTTTCTTCACACGTATAGGCACCAGTGTATTTGAGGGGGCAAGGGGGAAGTTCCCCCACACAACTTTTCAACCTTAAAAAAGATGATAGCATCTGGCCTAATTATTATTCGAGGGAGCGTAGCGACCGAGCAAAAACTTCGTTTTCCTATTCTCTCTCAAATTTAATTAAGGGTATGGGGTGGTGATCCCCTAAAAAATAAAAATTTCCATTATGCAATCATTTTCTTTAGGAAAAACAGACATTTCTGATTTTTTGTTTGATTTTTTTTTTTACACAGTACAAAGCCAATAGGAGGGAGCGTTGCGAGATACGTTACAGAGTTGCTAAGTTGTGTTGGATTGATCGCAAATTTACAAATTCCTAACTTTCTTATTTTTAATCGGAATTTGCCTAAACTTTTACTGACATGTTCCTCTCAACGTATCCATCTTAGCGCAGACGACTGACATGGGCTCGTACCTGCAAACTATAAATTCTCCGGAAAGTGCACTCCGCCCCAACCTGTACATAATTAATGCTGAATATTCCATCGCATCAGCATCTAGTTTTTACCATGTACTTGTTGCAGTAGACTGCTTGCTGTTAAATTACGATCACTACCGTCTCCAATCGTTGCTGATAATAAGACGTATCGAGGCGACTTTTGTAATTATGAGTCCTAAAAAAAGCGAATTCCATGCCACTCCATGCCATGGTTTACAATCCAACAGTAAGCCTGGTTGTATCAAAGAGCAGCAACGGCAACAGTTGTTGCTCAAATTCAGCAACAATCGTAGCGAAGATTGTTTTTCCCAAAATATCAGATACAATGCATAAGACAAGCATGGAAAGTTGATAACACATACAAGCAATACTAATAATGAGGTGTAATAGCAACTGCTCTATCAAACATGCCTATTACCTAAAGAAGACAATCTTCTGGATCTGGATTTGAATCAGTTACAGACGGAAATTCCTGTACACAGACACACATATTTTCTTTCTTTTTTAAATCAGTCATTTACACTTATTTCTTTAAATATATTATTTCTTATAATACGTTTTTTAGAACAATCATGTTTTCTCAATCTTATCGTGATTTCAAATGGCTTAGATTGGATAGCAATCATACTGGAAGCTAAAATTACACAAGTTTAGATGCTTACATTTGTTTTTATACTTATTGTTAAACAAGGTAGTCATCGAATTTACATGTGGTCAGTCCTCACACTACATTAGCCCAGAAATCAAGACATAGGGGTCCAGATGTATGGAATTCTCTGCCTAACAATATTCGAAATATAACATCACCAAACTCAAATGCATTATCTTTTCACAGATGTAAGATATTACTTACATATATATAAATCTCATATCAGCTCTCATTATATCGAACATAAATGTAATTCTCTTATTATCTATAAGACATTTTACTAGACTTAACAATAAACTTCTTTTCTTCTCAGTTGTTGTTTTTCTTTTATTTATTGTTCTTTGTAAATAGTGTAAATAGTTCACAACCCTTTAGAAATGTTAATTGTCATAGATGTTATATTTGAAAGGTGTTGTAACGATTCGAGCTATATTTGTGTGTTCATTCTTTAACTGTATAACAGTTGCAACTTGTCTTTGGTAAAGCATTGTTATATTCTTTTTCACGTGAAGTCTATTCAAATGAATTGTAAAATTGAAAATGATTTATTATATTATTTTCTTTTTTATGTGATGTTAACTCCAATGAATTGTGAAATTGTGAACATGAATTTATTTGTAGATATTCTTGATTTATAATTTTTAAAAATCCCTTAAAACAAAAATTAATTACAATTTTTTTTAACCCTCATTAGCTTTAAGAAAAAAAAGAAGTGAATGAAAGTAGGCCAATAATTACGTGATCAAAAGAGTTATCCTTAACTTCATTTTTTCATAGAAATAAAAGACAATATAATGGAAAGAATCGTAAATTCTGAGTAATTGCCAGATAAAGCCAAACGATAAAGAAGAAGAAGTACAACTAGCTGCCTTTTCTGGAGCAGTTAAAGGGGAAGTCCACCTTAACAATAATACTAAAAGCATTAAACCAGAACGTCAATGACGTAGCGCTCATCCGCATCTCGCAACAACAAATCGTACATTTTATGTGGTACACTTTTGAACTGGTCAAAAAATAAAAATGTGATGCCCTGGAAGGGACATAATCTCATTTAGCTGTACAGGATTAAATAGAAACTAAAGGAAATGGAATGAAAATAGGTTGAAAAATATATAGTTTTGTGACAAGCAGGACTTGAACTTAGTAAGAGATGAATATAAGCATACTCACCTTTTATTATGATAATAAAAGGACAGAGGTATAAATAGTCAGTAAATTGTCAACAGAAAAATATGGCAAAATAACAATTTTGAAAGGGACAAAAACGAGTTAGTGTGAGAAAATTGTTAAAATATTTAAACAAATTGAAGAATTAGGAGGTAACAAGAGAATGAAAACAAGGCATGCATAATACTGATGAATTAAAACAAAATTTCATATTGTGATCTTTCAGCCATTTTGCACGCAGGTGTGTTGGATGTTGTCCTTGCCTTTAGCTCTACCAGATAAAGCAAACCAAATTAAAATCGGTCAAGAAATGAGGGAGAAAAAAAGGAATTTTTGTTTTTTCTGGAATAAATTTGCATAAATTACCATAATTAATTAATGGAGACAAATTTCAAAATTCTGAGTAGAGGAATAGTGTACCAAAGTAAGCTCAATGATATAAAGCAAATCAAATCAAAATCGGTCGAAATATGAAGGAGAAGAAGCATTTTTTGTGATTTTTAAATTATTTTCGGATAAATTTGCATAAATTACAATAATAAATCAATAAAGCAAAATCACAAAATTCTGTGTAGAAGTTTAGTGTTCCAAATTTAGCTCTACCAGATAAGGCAAACCAAATCAAAATTGGTCAAGAAATGAGGGAAAAGAAGCAATTTTTGTTATTTTTTGAATAAATTTGCATAAATTACCATAATTTATTAAGGGAGAAAAATTTAAAAATTCGGTGTAGAAGTTTAGTGTTCCAAACTTAGTTCTACCAGATAAAACAAACTAAATCAAAATCGGTCGAGAAATAAAGGAGAAGAAGCCTTTATTGTGATTTCGAATAAATTTGCATAAATTAGCATAGATAATTAATTTCACGATTCTGTGTAGAAGTTTTAAATCCCCCTCCTAGCCCTATCATATGAAATAATCAGAACCAAAATCGGTTGAAAAAAAACGAAGAAGAAGCATTTTGAAAACTGTGGACGGACGGACGATGGACGCCACGCCATGGCATAACGAGAGAAACCAATTATTGCAAGTTGTAATAATATCCGATGAAAAGTAGGAAAGTTATACATTTATAAAGTTGTTATCAGTGAAACACAAATTGGCAACACTTAGACATTTCTTGCGAGGTCCTCACCAATTTGCTCTATACATATTTTGCATGAACTCTAATTTGCTTAGTTGTTGATGACGTGAAAAAAATCATTAGGGGTTGGTTGTATAGAAACATATTTACAATATTAAATATTTTGGGTGCACGTAGTATTGAACATTTTCTTAAGGGAAAAATGTGATTTCTGAATTTTTAGTAAGAGCAGATAGGAGGGATCCTTGCGAGATACGTCACAAAGTTACCAATTTGTGTTTGATTGATTCGCAACTTTAAACATTTCTAAGTTTCTTATTTTTAATCGGATTTGGTCTAAACTTTTACCTGCATGTTCCTCTCAACTTAACCAACTTAATATCATGGTGGAATTCCCCTTTAAAGTACAGTATGCAGTCACCATAGTTTCACAGTGCAGACGCAGTTATCGACTGACATGGGTATGTACACGCCTGCAAACTACAGTATATAAACTCCACCAAGTGCACTCCGCCCCAACCTGTACATAAGTAATGCTAAATATTCCATCGCATCAGCAGCTAGTTTTTATCATGTACTTGTTGCAGTAGACTGCCTGCTATTAAATAACGATCACTGCCGTCTCCAATCGTTGCTGATATTAGACACATCGAGGCGACTTTCCAATCTTTGTATGTTTTTAATCAGACTACTGCCTGGGTATCAGAAAATGGTAAGTCTATCGTTATCTCATAGTATATAAATCGTGGGTTTTATCATGTTCTCTTTCCTCAGTCTCTTTACTTTTCAAATTTCCAGAAACGGGGGGGGGGGGGCTGACATCTTTTATACCCGAGTATGAGCTCTCTAATTTCTTAATAAAAAAATTGGGTAACAATGGTAACGAAAGTACAGTATGCAGTCACCATAGTTTCACAGTGCAGACGTAGTTATCGACTGACATGGGTATGTACAAGCCTGCAAACTATATAAACTCCAGAAAGTGCACGTACTCGCCCCAACCTGTACATAATTAATGCTTAATATTCCATCGCATAAGCGAGCGAGCAAAACAAAAATCATGCTTTTTATTTTAAAAGTATTTGTCATCATCAATGTACACTTGATAAAATATATATAGCTGAAATACTTATTTGGACACCTCGTGTAATATGAGATGAGATACAGTTATTGGATGCTGTGGTCAAGTGAATAAATCACCGGGCTGTAGATCACAAGTTACGGGGTTCAAATCTCAGCCTAGCACTAACATCCTTTGGCAAAACGTGAACTAGATTAATTGCAACTCTCCACCCAGGTGCTAAATGGGTACCCGGTAGGATTCGAACGTAGTTTGCTCAGCATTGGGAGCGTCTGTAATAAGGCGCCTGACTGGAATACTTATATTATTTAAATATCATTATTCTGAAATTCGCAGGGGGGAGGGGGGTGGGGGGGTCATCAGCCCCTGTCTCGTATACACCCGATCGTATTGCATAGGCCTACAGATAAAAGTAGAAAATAGCTACTGCTGTTGGTTGCCTAGTTATATAGGTTCATAATACGTGACGAAACAAAAGAGCAAAACAATACCTTCTCCTCAATATTCCTCCCACAAAAAATTCCTGAATACATAGTTTTCAATTTTATTTTCTCTGTCCCTCAGATTTTAATGTTAGTTC